AGAGGAGATAATGGGCATCCCTGTCTCACCCCTCTTCTTAAGTGGACAGGGGGGGACAGGGAGCCATTAACAATGATTCTAGAGAAGGCTTTAGAATAAAATAGTTCGACCCACCCACAAAAGGAGGGGCCGAAACCAAATTTACGCAATACTCTCATCATGAATTCGTGGTCAACTCGGTCAAAAGCTTTTTCTTGATCTAAGGAAATGAGAATACCTGGTTCATTAGTTTTGTCAATCATGTCAAGGGCATCACGAAGTAAGGCCAAATTTGAGAAGATAGTGCGGCCGACCACGCCGCACGTTTGGTCTGAATGCACGATGGAGTTCATGACTTTTTTCAATCGTTCAGTGATGATTTTAGATGCTAACTTGTAGTCAGTGTTTAACAAGGAAATTGGGCGCCAATTTTTTGCGAGGCGTCGATCATCTTTTTTGTGGATGAGTCGTAGGAGGCCCTCGTACTGGCTATCCGCGAGGGAGCCAGCAAGAAAGGCCTCGTTCAAAACAGAAAGGAGAGATTCGCTCAAATCGTTCCAAAAACACGAGTAAAATTCTGTTGGGAGACCATCAGAACCGGGTGACTTGCCGGTCTGAAGGCCTTCCAATGCAGTAAGTAATTCTTTATTAGAAAAAGGGCCTTCACATAGATTGCGCTCATAATCAGTCAGTGAAAATNCGCCTAAAGTGTTTACAATTAAGGTTCTACCGATAAAAGACAGGTCTCTTTGTTTCCAAAGATTTAGAACCGAACTTAGTTTGTCTAATTTGGCCCGCCAATTGTCGTCGTCGACATTGACGAGGCCGTTTGAGAAGTAAACACCAAGCACTCTCATTTTAGTGACCCATTTGAGGCCATAGGGAGATTCAATTCTAGTTCGCCATTTTCCTAACCACATTGCTTCAGATTTGGACGTGTTCAGTTTAGCGCCAGATCCTTGTTCAAATTTTGATACGACTCGGAGAAGTGAAGAAAGAGATCTTTCGGATTTTAAGATGCAAGTAGCATCGTCAGCGTACTGGGATATTTTATATTGAAGGCCCCCTGCTCCGGGGAGCAGGAAACCTTCAATATCTTTACAATTACGGATTTGCGTTGATAATACTTCTGAAACTAGCACATAAAGGAGAGGAGATAATGGGCATCCTTGTCTCACCCCTCTTCTTAAGTGGACAGGGGGGGACAGGGAGCCATTAACAATGATTCTAGAGAAGGCTTTAGAATAAAATAGTTCGACCCACCCACAAAAGGAGGGGCCGAAACCAAATTTACGCAATACTCTCATCATGAATTCGTGGTCAACTCGGTCAAAAGCTTTTTCTTGATCTAAGGAAATGAGAATACCTGGTTCATTTGTTTGGTCTGAATGCACGATGAAGTTCATGACTTTTCAATCGTTCAGTGATGATTTTAGATGCTAACTTATAGTCAGTGTTTAACAAGGAAACTGGGCGCCAATTTTTTTGTGAGGCGTCGATCGTCTTTTTTGTGGATGAGTCGTAGGAGGTCCTCGTACTGGCTATCCGCGAGGGAGCCAGCAAGAAAGGCCTCGTTCAAAACAGAAAGGAGAGACTCACTCCAAACGTTCCAAAAACACGAATAAAATTCTGTTTGGAAGACCATCAGAACCGGGTGACTTGCCGGTTTGAAGGCCTTCCAAGGCAGCAGACGGTTCAGTTGCCGTAAAAGGGCCTTCGCATAAATTTCGTTCAAAATCGGTGAGTGCAAAACTTAGATCATCGATTATTTCTGTTTGAACTTGCATGTCTAAGGGATCTTTGGAGAATAGATCGTTATAGTAATTAGTTAGAATGTTTACCAGATCAGGTTGAGATATTTCTCAATGCCATTTCCGTCCAAAAGGGGTTCAAAGGAATTAGCATCAGCTCGTTTTTTCTCGAGACGAAAAAAATAACGCGTTGGCTTTTCGCCTCCCTCGAACCACTGCGCACGAGAACAAATTTTAGATCCTTCGACTTCCTTGGAGATTAGAGAGGAGAGTTGGCTTTCTAAATCGTTAATTATACTTGGATCAGTTAGACGGTTAGCGTGTAAGGCAGCCTTAGCGCGAATTCATTGTTTAGTGATTGAGATTCTTTGGGTGTTAGCGATTTTTTGTTTGCGGGTACTATAAGAAATATTGGTTTTACGGATTTGAATTTTTAAAACGTCCCACCATTCGCACAGGGAGGCGAACTGCAGGATTTTGAGTTTAAAATCAGAAATCGATTTCGACATGGTATGTTTGAATTCTATATCAGAAAGTAAACGAGTATTAAATTTCCAGATGCCGGGGCCATGATTAGCGGGGTTAGTCGTTAGTTCAATTTTTACAAAGTCATGATCTGATAGTGCGTATACGCATGGAAGAATATTACTGGGGTGAAGCCTTTAGCTGTGAGAAAGTGGTCAATTCTAGAAATTCTGGATGCCTGTGTATGATCTTTGTTAGACCAGGTGAAAGTTACTTTGCGCGGGTTGTTTTTGCGCCAAATATCCGTAAGTGAGAAATCAGCACAAAGGGATCGGAGAAGCTTTTGATCAGACAATGGGATAGCAGAAAAATTTAGTTTATGTGAAGGTGTAGTCTGATCGTCCGGGTGAGTGTAGTCCTGAGAAGGACTGTTGTCGGTAGCAGTGACTGACGTTTCGACAACCTGTGCGGAAGTCATCATCAGAGTCAAGTGAATGATTGTTGTCAGTAGAATGTTCTTATTCCAGTTCGTGTGAAATGATCGGTTGGTTTTGCCGTGATGTTATTGGCTGTAAGACTCAAGTGACGTAAGTCGGTCGTGATTGGTCTGTTTCG